TAATTAAGGAATGTAACTACTTCCACAAACTTGCAATTAAAACTGGTTCCCCAGACTACTGGAATATATTTAAATACTATCGTGCTACAGTCAGAAAAACCATTCAGCATGAAAAATACTCCTACCATCAAAGTTTAATCAAGAAAAAGGGAAACAACACTCATCAGTTATGGACTAGCCTTAAATCTGCCATGGGCCTCACAAAACAAACACTAGCACCCCCCTTTTCCCCAAATGAGCTCAATACCTACCTCAATCAAGTAGCCTTTAACCTCGTAGAACACCTCCCCAATATCCCCTCATCCTATCCTGATTCCCCCATAGCCAAATTTCACATCCCTCCTATCTCTGAAGAGGAAACACTGGCCTACATCCTTAAATTACCTAACAAATCCTCTTGTGGTATGGATGGTATCACTCCCATTGCACTTAAGTATGCCTGTAATGCCTGGAACTTTGTCCAAATACTTACTCATCTCTTCAATACCATACTGTCCTCCTCCACCTATCCCTCATGCTTTAAAATTGCTAAAGTAATCCCCCCCCACAAGAAAGGTGACCCTCGTGACCCTTCCAACTACCGTCCCATATCCCTACTACCAACCATTAGCAAAATCATTGAGAGGCATATATTTAATCACCTTCACCAATTCCTTCAAGACACCAGCATTTTCTCCCCCAACCAATCAGGCTTTAGAATGTATCACTCTACTTGCTCAGCTCTCATCAACTTCACTGACAACACCCTAAAAGCCATGGACTTGGGATATGTCACAGGAGCAGTCCTTGTAGATTTCAGCAAAGCATTCGATACAATAGACCATAACATTCTCATTAACAAATTGACAATGTATGGATGTTCCTCTCATACTCTTTCACTCCTCACCTCCTACCTTTCTGACAGAAAACAAGTTACTCAAATTCAAGGGAGTAGTACCACCTCTGACCCTCTCCCAAATTTTAATATAGGTGTCCCACAAGGTTCAATTCTTGGCCCATTACTTTTCATCCTATACATAAATGACCTTCCCCTGAGTATAAAAAAAGCTAAAGTTGATATACAGGGTGTCCATAAAGTCTCTTTACAATTTAAAAAATTTATTACAAAGGCAATTGATGAGATATCTAAAAAGCATTCGATACAATAGACCATAACATTCCCATTAACAAATTGACAATGTATGGATGTTCCTCTCATACTCTCTCACTCCTCACCTCCTACCTTTCTGACAGAAAACAAGTTACTCAAATTCAAGGGAGAAGTACCACCTCTGACCCTCTCCCAAATTTTAATATAGGTGTCCCACAAGGTTCAATTCTTGGCCCATTAATTTTCATCCTATACATAAATTACCTTCCCCTGAGTATAAAAAAAGCTAAAGTTGATATATATGCAGACGACACCACAATTTACTTTTCACATCCAAATCCACTGGTTGTTAAGGAGACTCTCCAAATTGAACTTCTCAATCTGCAAAACTGGGTTAACAAAAATAAATGCTTATAAATGTCAGTAAGACCCACTCCATACTTCTAGCCCACCCCAACAAGTTTGCATCATCCTCTATAAAAGACTTACATGGCCTTACTTTAAACTCTGAGCCCATCCAATCACTTAAAAAACTCAAACTCCTTCGCCTAACCCTAGATGCTCACCTTTCTTATAAAGTACATTGCCTCCCCATCATTAAAAAAAAAATAAATCAAAGTCTGTACCTCATTCGCTCTATATCTCCACTAATCTCTTCTAAAGAAATCCAAGTACAGTACTTGCTAATGCCCTCCCCACATCTCATTCCCACTCAATAGTACATTCCTGAAAATGGTTCAAATTATCGTCGCAATACTTGGTATAGGAATGGGGGCGAGTATTCAATAAAGTCAGACGCTGCACACCTCCATAATGAATATCGTCTTGAAACGACTACCGAAAAACGCATTGGCTAAAAAGCGGAACTCGATGAAAAAAAAAAAACAAACAAAAAAACCTTCTCTTTGATGTGAAAATATCGGCGTTAANAAGCAAAGATGGAACTAGAATCATGCTGTCAGGCAAGGAAATTAGGAAAAAATGTTTCACTTTCACTCGCGAACACCTCGCATAACGAACGCACCGCTGGAACGAATTCCGTTCGTTATGCGAGGTACCACTGTATATGCTTCCTGCTCCTCATCCAATATCTTAGATAGAATAAATTCCCAAATTAAAAAATGCCTAAGAATAATCCACAAATGTTCAGCACGTCACCCATCTGCACTGCTTCTAAAAAAATCTGACTGGCTTCACTTTAATAATCTTGCACACTTTGAAACTGCCTCCCTATGCCACAAAACTCTGAACACACCCTCCCCATCCTATCTTCAAGTTTTCACAGCTCCCACTCACCAGCACAATACACGCTTTGCGAATGATAAAAAACTATGCATTCCCTCTGGTACAACCCTTTCCTTTCATTGTTCTTTCCACTACAGAGCTACAAAATTTTGGAACTCACTCCCTGTTAACATCTGCAACATTCCTGCTCATAACAAATTTTAAAACAGTCTAAAAATACACCTACAAACCATGCACTAATCATCATAGTCTCATATTTATTTATTTATATATACTGTGGTGTATCCCCCTAATGAGATCCTCCAAGCATTTCTGCCTCTCTTCCCAGGGACAACCAGCCTCAAGGCTGAATTTCATTTGTATATACTGTCTCTCTTTTTTTTGCTGTCCATTCTATTCATATCCTAATAAAGAACATTATTATTATTATTATTATTATTATTATTATATTATTTTCATTATTATTATTGATGAGCTAAGAAGTTTAATCTTTTCATCTTAGTTAAACTTTGTCAAGTAAGCAGCAGCATATAATGAATGTAATGAATATATTCATATTCATATATGCATATAATGAATTCACCTAGTATGTTCCAAAAGGCACTTAATAGTCCTCCTACAGGGTGTCTGATAGGTCATGCACCATAGGAAATATCAGTACGAATCTTTCAATCTATGGAATTTACCAAATGTGTTCAATGTAGTGGCCCTGTTGAATGCGTAGTCCAAGCAAGTCTCTTCCATGATTCTTGGACCCCATGCAGCACCATTGAAGTGATGGATAAATCAAGGCCGTTCTGTATGCTGTCAAAATTCTAGGTATCACTTACTTGAAGCAATATTTCAACATTGCATGTCCATAACTTCAACGGTGCTGCAAGATCCCCAAGAATCATGAAAGAAGAGACTTGGACTCTGTATTTAATTACATGGCCACTACATTGAACGCATCTTGTGAATTCCATAAATTGAAGCAGGGTAATTATAAAGAAAGTTTCCTTGTTCAGCGCATTAGATCTCATGAACAGTTAGACACAGGATTGTGAAACTTAATATGAGTGCTACTGGGGCCTTGCAGAAGACAATGCTCCATGTGTTGTGTGTTGTCAAAAGTGAAAAAATGGACCACTTATGAAAGTCAGTTGTGTTCATTGTTTGCTTCTCCATGGCATTCAAAGGATAACAGAAGTGACAGCAGCATGTTGCATATTCTCCGGTGTACTGGCCTGTCCCTGACAATGGCATCTTTAAGGTCTGGAATCATGGGTGGGGTCCCTTGGTACCTATGAGACTTCAGAAATCCCCACAACCAAAGGTCTGCTGGTGTAAGGTTCAGTGAACACAGTGGCCATTCATAAGGCAAATGTCTGGAAATTATGCAATTCTGAAAGTGCTCCTGCAACATGTGCTTGGCAAGAGTGTCAATGTGAGGAGGAATGCCATCCTACATAAAGGTTATGGTGTCCAGCACATTTAGTTGCTGCAGAGGTGATACTGATATTCTGTATGGTGTGCAACTTGAAACACCCTGTATATGTGAGGAACCGTTTATTGTAATCAAGCAGGTCATTCTTGAAGATGGCAGGAAAAATGAAATTTCCCTCATTGCTCCTGCCTGCAGGTGACATCTTGTTTCATTGATGAATGGAGAATGCTGCATTTGTAATCAGTTTTAGGAGAAAAATTAGGGATTGAATAAACTGCTGAATAGTAAAGATGAATTATTCACTGCATCTTCATTTTTCCTATAATACCTGAGGTGATGTACCATCCTGTTCTTCATTTTAGGGAGAGAGTGAAAGAGAGAAATTTCTATCTACCATGGTCACCAAGCAGCACAAGCTCATCCATCTCCTCAGGTGAGTTTTAGGTCATTACTTGTTCCATAACACAAAATAAATTTAATTGTTCTGTCAGTATTAGCTCTTACATTGGCTTGCATTACAGAGAACAGCACTCCCAAGATGGGATGTGTAATTCTGGTCTGGGGAATGGAGATTGATGGGAGCAGGTGGACAGCTGGAAATACTCATTTGAATTCCCAGGGGTGCAGATACCATACCAGCATTAGTTGGTAATGGGTTCACCATCTTGCCATATGGAGCATGCAAATCTTTACAGATGTGCTCTACTTAGAACATCAGAGAGACTGACAATGCAGATGCACCTTTGAGTCTGTGCTAGTGGGGCTGGAAACCTGCCTTGCAAGTTCCATTTTTAAAGCCACTCTTAATGTAAGATATGTTCTGGTATAAATGTGGTGCAATAAAGGGCATCCAACTGAAATTTGAATATGCTTCAAACTTAATTCATGCATTCAGGCTAATTGACAGTCCATATGTTGGGCCAAAGAGCACTTTTTGCTGGATTTGGCTTGTCATGAGGAGCAAATTCAGAGGTTTCTCTATGACTGGAGGGTCATTAATAACCTGTGTTGTACCTGCTTGTTTGCCATATAAGTGGATACTAAATTTGCCCTAACCACTTCCCAGGGAGACCTGGAAAATTCTTGGGTTGACTTCCATATCTCAAAACTCACTGGCGATGGGCTTAGGTAGTCCCAGAACATGGAGGAACTAAGTTTTGATTGAAAAGGTGTTCCTTTTCTCCTGGGATGAACATTTCTAATTCTAGTGTGGTGTTTTAGAAGCAGACAAGCAATAGATTTTCTGTGGTACACTTTTATTGGAACAAATGCTACACCTTAGGCACAAATCAACATCGGGGAGCAGGAAAACCTGAGGATAAGAGAAACTTTTACCAAGTTGATAGCACTTCCCACACGTGTTATTCATTCAAATATCGAGTGCGGGGATTGGGGAAGGTGAGGAAGGATGCCATTCTTTCATCTCATCTGGAAGCATGACTTGAGGCGCTTGAAGAAGACTGGCATGAAAAAAGAGACAAGAGGGAGAGCAATGCAGCAGGAGACAATACTGAAACATCAAGGTGTATTGCTTGAATGGATGGTATAGGGCCACTGACAAGACACCGTACATTCAACCTTGAGAAACTTGGCCACTTTCCTCTTCTCTTAAAGCTCAGGGAAGGAATGAGGGATATTGAAAAAAAAAAATCATAAGCTCTACAAAGCACTAAAGACCATGAATGCATGAAACACAAAATACAAAAAGGAGGGGAGTAGGCACTGCCTATGAAAACATACAAAGGGACTGATGAATTTTCCTTACATGAGATCAAACGTAAACCTTTACACATAACTCAAACATGAGGCAAAAACCTTGAAATTTACAGGAAAAAAACCCAGCAGAGGATTAAGATGGGAGAGAGGAAAGAAAGAGAAGCGTATCAAAGGCAGGAGTCAAGGTTGTGATGTGAATGTGCAATACTTCAAGAAGATACGTATGAAAGCCATGATGAACAGTTGCCAATTCTCAATGGCACTGAGAGACAAAACTTGGAGATACAACTATTGGAAGGGATTATTAATAAATTCAACCACACAACTATTATAATGATGACATGAGGTATTTGTGAGCCAATTGACAAAAACTTCTCTGCTTATTTTTGTGCCTCCCATCAGGAGTGAGATGGCCCAGAAAACAACAGACATATTGCACATGGGTTCCAGGATTTTTTCAACAACATGACAAACTTCTTCATACAGTATCTCAATCCTTTTGCCTAAGAGCCCCAAGTGTGGAAGCTTTGACTGACAAAAGAAGAGGGGTGAACAAATGTCCTGTATCTTCTTCATAGACATAAAGATTGGGGAAATAAGGCAGCAAATTTTGTTTTAATTGGCATCACAGAATCTAGACGTATATGGGCCTTGGTTGGGGGAAGCAAATAGGTAAAAAGGAGGAGAAAGAGTCCCAGAATGCCATGAATGTGAGATCTTTCTTTCCCCATACATGCTTTTTTTTTGCACTTCCCTAATGTTCTGAGTTCTCTTCCAGTTCATTTCATTGAGGAAAGACCAAGAGAGAAAATGGGAGAGGAAATCAAGAAGAGTAGTACATGCTTGAAGCAAAGAAAGAATTTGTACTATAGTCAAATCACAAGACAAAACATCTCGCAGGGAAATCAATTGGGGGAAAAGTGGCCAGGAATCAAACATTACTCACATCAGTAACATCTTGCTTTTTTTTTACCATTCTTTTGATTCCTCCCTTTTTTTTCCTCTCTCTGGCAGGGAGGCACCATTCACCACCAATGGAGAATGAACCCAACCACAAGAAGAATCACAATCGAGATTGTACCCGCAACAGTTTCCAGTGTGACTTTACTCACTCAAAAATTAAAGGCAGGAGGAGGGGAGGGAACTGTTACAGGTGGCATTAAAAGAGTCTCACAACTAATTCCGAATAAACTTTAGAAACCACTCTGGATGAAAACTGCTGAGGGAAAAATTGCTGATGACCTTAATGTCAATCACAGAAGGGAACAGGAAGAGAAATATGGAAAACGAGCATTCTCATGAGAAAGAGGACTTCCAGCTGAGAAGTGCTAATAGTTTTTGAAAGCCACACGAAAGACATGCAGGTCAGGAGAAAAGGGGAGGAGAATTGATGGCACCCCAAAGATGATCTCCTTTGGATATCTAGACTAAGCAGAACAGAAGTAGAAAAAAAAAATCAGAATGGGAAAAGGGACAAATCAATGCATTTAATTCCCACTGCACATCATACGTCTTTCTTCTCATTGCTTCCCCTCGTGATGACTATCAAGGATTTGAGCAAGTATGCACGGAAACACAAACTTCATAATGCCCAATGGAGGTGACATGTGTCATTCACATGGGAATGAATTTCAGACAAAACGGGACAGGAACTAGGAGTGAAGCTGGAAAACGATTCAGATGTTCCAACCAGACAAGCAGGATAGAGAAAGAGGAAAATGGGCACATATGTCAAATGCACACGAGCAGGCTTGTGGATGCACTATGCATGCATGGGATGATGAAGCGTGAAACAGCTTTTCCTGATGCATGCAGTGTGATCTTCCTATTCGGAGTTGGAGAAGTATTCACCCGCATCCCCTCGGCAGATTGGACACGTGCGATTGGACTGCAACAAGCAAACGTTGAACAATGAAAAAAAAAAACCTCCATATCAGCAGTCAGGTCAGGAGCAGGAGCAAAGGAGGAAACATGAGACTGAAGATACTGACCTTGAGCCACTTGTCCACACACTTCGCATGGAATTCATGAGAGCAAGGAAGGACACGAAGAACTTGGCGAGCCTCAAAGTCACACATACACACCACACATGTGTTCTGCTCACTCTGACGGCTTTCAGTACTGAATCTGCAACAAGCAAGATGAAAAAGAGCCCTCATGCACCACTTTCAATTTCTGAATAGAGCTGTAAAATCAGGGAAAATGCACTCACCGATATGATGGAAGCTGGTCAATCTCATGACGGAGTAGTCCTCGAGGTTTTGCCTCACCAAGTCGTTCTGCAAGGCTCAGAAGTGCCTCATAGTTCTCTGTTTCCTGGTCAGAACCAGCAACTTCTCCTCTAACATTGATGGCAGCCAAATTTGGATTGGAAAGCATGGCTCTATAAAAAAAAAAAAAGAAATAAATATTACTAATCTGTAAATCTTACCATAGGGATATAATTTAGTACATGTGAGCAGCTCAAATATAATAAATAATAGGAAACATGGACCAGGAGCTTCCAATCTAATTTAATTACAGGAATACCACAAGAGATCCAAAAAAAAAAGCAGTCTAGCAGAACTGACATAAAGTGAAGGAGGAATCCTGGGTTGGATGCTTGAGCAGGATTGTGATGGTGTGTTGGGGGGTGTGGGGGTGGTAGATGATGATGATGATGATGATGATGATGATGGCCCATTGCCATCCCAACTCCATGTCCATGCCCATGTCCACTCCCACCAACATGGTGATGTTGATGAGGATGCCCATTCCCATTGGGTGGAGGGACAGGTGAGGAATGGAACCGCCATCTATGCTGTGCATGGCCTGGTCCTGAAGAACCCCCACGCCCATATCCGAAGTGGGTGCCTATGGTCCCATTGCTGCTTCCATTCCCATTACCATTGCCAGAAACCCCAGGAAGTAATGGAGCCATTGCTGGCTGAGGGAGAATGCGCCTCAACTGGCTGCTGGCACGACGTGTCCGGCCTCCATTTGCCTCAGTCTGTCCTCGAGTCTAACAATGTAATAAACCAGTACAGATCATTTCCATATTGAAACACTTTTACTTTTACCCTAGAATTTATACATAGTATTGGATGACAGAAGAATCCTCAGAATGAAAAGATCAAAAGCAACATGAAAATATATATACAGGGTGGGGCAAAAGCCAAGGAACATTGGAATTTTTGGGGAATTTCGTTTTGGAAGTGCTTGATGGCAGCACACTTATGTATCTCCTTCTCATCGATTTGGCATGCAATAGGTTAAGTCCAGTGAAGTGTGCTCACGCTGCATCCACTGAAATTAGCTGGAAATGAACGACTGTTACTCACCTAGAACAAGAATAGCAATTTTGGCGATAATGTGTCATTTCCATTGCTGTTCTTTGGTTATCTCCATGCTTGAGTGTGCACAATTTTGCCATAATTTTATTATGACATTTTCCAGTGATTTTTGAATAAGTGTTGTGAAAAAACCTAGTAATTGTGTACTAAACCGAAAAATGAATGGAGTTGATGATTTATGCAAAAACAGAAAACAGATTCCAGCAAACTAGCCTATTACCATGAAAGACACCCAAATAGGCCCAGATTGTTCATCCATTGCATTTTGGATTTGATAGAAAAATTCTGGGAAACCAGCAATGTTCTCAATGCAAAAAAAATTATATGGCCATGATAGGAGAAGCTGACCAAACAACACTTCTGGCCCTGGTGTCAATACAGCCGCAACAATCAACACGAGGGATGTCAAGAGCTGTGAGCATTAGTGAAAGGTTAGACAGAGAAGAAAATTAAATTCTCCAAAACTCTTATGTTCCTTGACTTTTGCCCCACCCTGTATGTGGGCCTAACAAAAAGTTCCAGGACCAGTCTTCACATGAGCAAACTACTTACAACAATTAGGTTTCAGTATGAGCCCCTTTGAAATAGTTCCCTTGACTTGTGATACACTTCTCAAAACTTTTGTGAAGACCTTGGAACACTAGCTGTAACCTATTCTGGGCAACCTCCTTCAACTTGTTGGTTTCAACTGACTGGAGAGCATCTGTGTCATGGAAGTGGCAGCCTTTCGGAAGGCACTTTATTCTGGGAAACAGCATGAAGTCATAAGGTGTGAGGTCCAGTGAGTACAGAGAATGTTGGTGCATTGTCACCCCATGATTGGTTAGAAGTCCCATGATACCGATTGATTGCTGGCAATCATTGCAGACAAGCTCAGAAAAGACTTGTTGATGGCTGTCCAATGTGTCAATGTGTTTGTCATCTTCAATAAATTCCTGCTCTTTGTGAAAATGCTTTTGTCACTCAGACAAACAAGAATTGACTGCAAAAAGTGGGAATCCATTGATGGCAAATGCAGTTGACAGACACATTCTCCAGTTAGTTGCAGGCAACACATTGAAGGATGTTGCCAAGAATGGGTGATAGCCAGGGTTCCAAGTTCTTTACAAACATTGGGAGAAGTGTATTGCAAGTCATGGAAACTAATTGGAAAGAGGTACAGAATCTAACTTCTGTACATAGTTTGCTCATTTGAAGGCCTGTCCTAAAACTTTTTGATAGGTCCATCAATGTCTTCTGATGGCAGAACTAGTGTGATTTTCAATCAAAGACATCACATAGTGATGTCATAAGGATTTTCCCTGATTTTTTAATGCAACCTCACTGAAGAAACACACATACTCATCCTTGGTAGAGAGATCTGAGAAAAAATCCATAGCAACAAAGAGCAGAATGGGTTTACTAAGCATACTTATAAAACCCACCCTGAACAAGATGAAATGCTACAGCATGCTATTGGTGAGAAGCACTTCAGTTTCCTCACTCAAGGCTCAACTTTTACACTTCTACTCAATGAAAATGAGAAGGAATCAAGGGAAATACTCACATCAGCCATAATCAAAGGATTGGCACTGGGGTTGAAAACAGGGCACTGATTTCGAGCAGGTGCTGGAGCTAGAGATGCAGGAGATGGGATGACACCAAGTGATGCGATCCCATTCCCTGGGCTAGCACGACGGAGGAGATCTTCCTCAGTTCTCCCTCCCTGTCGATGGGAAAAAATTGTTAGCATTAAAATCAGCATACAGAGATGACCCTGTAGTCTTGCAAATGGCACCTATTAACAACCAGGAACAAAAGCACTATTTTCTCCATTTCTTGTCATACTGCATACTACGAGGGGTCCTGCATAAGTTTCCAGACTTTTCAATTAAAAATAAACGTAGATTTTTAAAAATATTTTTCTCTGAAAGTGTTTATTTAACACTTTTCAACATAACCGCTGCCAATATCAATGTACTTTTGAAGGTGCCGGAGCGAACTTTGAAAACAGTTCTGAAAATCATCTTTTTTGAGCTGTTTCAGCTGATTCTCCAATGAAACCTGGCATTTCAAGTTAATGTTTCATTGGTCCAGAAGATTGGACCCTTCTGCTCCCCTGATTTAAATCCAATTGACTACAGTATCTGGTCCTTTCTGGAGGCACAGATCAGTGCTATCAGGCATAAAAAATTTGGGCAATCTCAAGATGGCTTTGTTGAAGAGGTGGGACAAAATCCCTGTAAAATAGCTGTGAGAAACTGTGAACAATTTTCCATAATGCCTCAGAAAAGTTATTGCTGCCAATGGGAGATATTCCAAAGATGTTTAACTCATTTTGAAGCTTTTTTTATGCTCTTTCTAATGAAATAAAGAAAAGTTTTCTTGCTCTTCATTGCATCAAGATGTTGGTATTTTTGAGAGTCTCCGAACTTTCCGGTCACCCTGTATGTGCAGAATGTGGTCTTCCATTGTCATACTGCAGTTGCATATTAAGTGTTAAAAGTCCATGTAGGCACAATAAATGCTTGGCTTCAATCATTACAATAGATTTCACAGTAAAATGAATGTGTCAAAAGGGGTGCTTATCAATAGGAAATGAATTATGACCCCAATAAAGATTCCACTTTCCTCTTTGAAGGGGCAGTTAGTCAACACAACTGTCATGTTTTGAAACTTATTGTTACAGAGGTACCATTTCCAACACTGTGGCCAGTGTTGTATTCCTGGGCCCATAGAAATACCAGTAGTATAATAGTTGCATGTCCCATACTTTCGGAAACCTCCTCAAATGTTAGTAACTCTTACCCATCCCTGCCCAAAAGTCTTGAGACTAAATTGAGGGTTATGAATTGGCATGTAGAAGTTTCAAAGAATGCATGTAAGGGAACAATAGATGAATGGGCACTCACCCCAGCTGAGATATGGAGGGAATGAGCGAGGGGGGGTTGGAAGGATGGAGGCAGGGCACTAATGGGGGTCTGCTGGGAGAGGCCAAAAAATCCTGGATACCCACGTCCTGCTAATCCCGGAACCTGCTCAATCATGAAATGCTATACATATCACTTCTGACCAGAATGCTTCTTGTGGTAAAGGGGTGGAGTGGGAGTGCAACCTGGCAAGAAACAGGCAGATGGTTGCAGGCTTGAGTGTAGAAGGAGTGGACTTGACATGGTGGAAGCCGTGTAGCTGACGGATGAGGTGCAGTGCAGAGAGGAACGTGCCCCTGTGCTGTTGGATATAAGGGTGTTGCCAACCCCACAGGGACAGATACTGGTACCTGAGGACACAGACAGAAACAAGACTCACCCCCAATTCTCTCTCTTGGGGAATAGAAACTTTAACTCCACTTTTTACAGTTATAACTCAGAGCAAGGAAGCGTTGCCAATAACAATAATTAAAGACAAGCAAAGTAAGAATAGCCTTGGAAAAGTGTGAGTGGAATAGGGGATGTAAGAAAATGGAATGTACCCAAGAGGCTTTTCCTAACGGGGTTGCCGTGAACATTGGCACCACGCATATTTACCACAGGAATTATTTATTCAAATATAATCGATGTGTCGGCAGGATCATTCCTTGTATCCTTCAAGCAAAGATGGAACTAGAATCATGCTGTCAGGCAAGGATAAATTGCGAGTGTCTACTATTCTTGCATATTCTATTATTACCTTCGGGAAGGATGCTTTTCCTAAACCTAAATATTTTTTTAGAATTTAGGAAGCCTCATAGGCCTGCGTTACGCTCAAGAATATCGCATTCGGCGTAAGCTCTTTTTCTTTCGGCTAGCTGAACATCGTACGTTATTGTAGTCCGTATCTCAAGATTACCTCACCGCACTCGCCATAGAAATACTCATCGATCCATAGTGTTTCACTGATGGGGGTTCCCTCTTCCCAAATCCCATGCAAATGGAGATGGTATAGTCCACGGGATCCAGTTTTCTCCCTTTTTGGTTGCATAGGTAACAGGAGCCGCTACAAACTACGCTACACTTCAGCTATTATGAGACCTTACTCCATCGTGCGGGGGATGACTTCAAGCCATGGCTGACCATTTCGTGATATCTTACGGGCGAGGCAGTCATGTGACATTGGAGAGGATTTTTTCCTATTCCCCGAGAGGACATCCAGATGCATACATTTCTCAAGAAAGTCGAACAAAGAAGCGGAGCGCTTTGCAACAGATACAAAAAGGTCTACAACGTGATGGTACGACACCAATTTTTTGCCTTTATTTTTCAAGCTGCTGAAGCACCAACAATCTTTTTTTAAAAATTAATGGGAGTTTGAAGGTTCTAAGATTTGGAACGTCTAGCATTTCATAGCGCTGAGTACCAAAATAATAAAATTTCTGAAAAGTATTCACATGGAACCAACGTAGTTAAACCTTTCGTGAGCAAATTTTTTCTTATATGCAAATGACAAAATTCAGTACCTTCTTTTTCATTTATGGAGGCTTTCGCTTTGAGAAATTCCGGACATTCTCTAAATGCAAAAAAGTAATATGTATATAGGTATATTAGCAATACTTCATTAACTATGAATACTATATACACAGATATATTACTGAAAGCTGACCTATCTTAAAAATAGTCCCAAAGGATGTAAAAGGAAATTTTTTTTTAAATCAGACTTTGTCCCATAGTTACCATTAAATATTTTGCTTCTTGTAAGTGTTGCCTCAACAGGTCGCGTGCTTACGCATCTTACCAAAATGGCTTCCTTACAGGCCTCATGGGCGCCAATTAAAATCTTCACGGAGTTATCTTAGTCATCAGTAGATGATAAGAATGTGAGGAAGCCTTCCCAGGGCACTGGGAGGGTAGAAATTTTGCTGGGAAGAATACGTCCCACTGTCCTCTAAAGGGTTAAGAAAAAATCAATTGGCACAACAAAGAAAAACTTGTTCTCTGCCCACAACGTGCAATCACTTTCAATTGTGAAACCACACCTGAATAAAAGATGCTCGAATGGAATGTATTCATTAGCGAACAGCCAGCAGGCCGACACTATCGATTTCATCACTACGCCCTTGGATGACTCGTGACATCGGAAGCCATAGACAGCAGGCCTACATCATAATTCAGGAACCTTGGCAGGAGAATCCAACTCTATATAATGGGGCACATCCCAAACCAGAGCAAACGATAGCATGTGTGACTTCATAAACTGTGTGCCACAGCTGTGCATTATCAGTCTTCCATACGCAGGCCTAAGTTCTAAAGTCTCAAGGGATAGATAATATAGGCCTACGTCGGAAGGTAACGAGAAGCCCAGTGTGCCCAAAAATGCCTTGACTCACCCGAGTGGGAATGATGAGGCAAGGCCCAAACACGGCCATGACACTCAATGTTGGGTCGATTGGCACGACACAGAATAATGTAATGTCAAAATTGGTCTGAGGCCTGGACCCAGGCCTCCACCAACCAATATTCACCTTCGACGATCAGCCATGACACAATCAAATCAGAGAAGAACACGGTGAGACAACACTTCCCTGAAACTGGGAAGGCTGAAATAAACGGCGCACAACGGAGCGGGAGACGAGAATGAGCGTTTCCTTTCTTCTCACAGATTCGGCTAAGAAGAAGATGAAGCTGCAGAGCCAGTGAGGAAAAAAAGACAAGCGAGGTCAGCGTGTTTACGGCTCATACGGGACTAGCCTACGAAAGAAAGGGAGGAAGCCAAGAAAGTGGGATGGAGGGAGGGAGGGAGAAAGATAGCAAGGGAAATCTTGCGCGCGGAGATGACGCATCTCCAGGGACATGAGACGAAGCACAGCACACGACAGTACTGGTTCATTGGGAAGAGGACAAAGCGGAGCTGGGGCTCACGCTCCCTTTCATCTGTCCTGCAATCGCTCACTCACATCCTCTCCCTTTCCCTGACGCACGCACGACAGAATACAGGGAAACAAGAGAACCACAGAACGAGCAGATGAGCCCGAGCACTCCCCCAATGCAACACACTACTCTCGCAACTCGCAGTCGCAGGCTCACATGCTGAGAATCCCAGTCCCAGGGTAGGGCAAGGGCCAGGGACTTCCCTCTCTTCCCCCCCCCCCCTTCCATCCTTCCTCCCTTACAGCCAGCATTGATCCAGCAGGCGGGGAAGCGAATGAGGGGGAGAGCATGGGCACCGCTATGCCCGGGAAAAACGGGAAACCTTTCACTTCCCGGAACCAGGGACCACGCACGTTTCTCCTTGCTTTTCGTCCTCCTATCCTTCCCTCCAAATAACACCACGAATGAGTCATTAGACAGAAGTGATAGAAACCAAAGGGAAATGACTTGGAGTGAATACCCTCATCTCCCTATAAGTCCCGTGTAAGTGAAAGATGACTGTTATCCGAAATATATCCATCTGTGGTATATATTATCACGGAGACGAGACGTCAAACAGTGACAAGCAAAAAATGAAAACTAGCTCAACCAAGTGATAAATTGTAATTGGGCTTCAAACAAAAAAAAGCCAAAACAACACCCTTAGGCAGCGACGTGCACCAGGCCCTATAGTCAACAGTTAAGAACCGATGACATGAGCCCAATGTGATAAACGCAAAGTTGTAGAGGAGCCGAGATTTTCGCCCTTGGAAATTTTGAGCCCCAAAGTAAGAACCTTCGGTAGACAAATCCAGCGCCGGACAATGTAATATGACATCACTGTGAATAACCCATCTCGTGGCCTCGACGCTGCTATGAGGCAATCCTCCTCAGCCTTGAATAACCCTGTGGAACTTTCAGTCTTCCGGGAAGGAAAAAAGAGTTAACACGGTCACGGTCTCGTGAACTGGTCCTGAGTGAATATGCACATCAAAGGCGTGACACTAAATTAATTAATGTGCTTGAGGCTAATAATGTTGAGGCTTTCTAAACATATAATACTTTCCTATGGTAACCTCACCATACAGGCATACTGAATACTGTAACTCACGAATATTTCATGACATATGGTGAATGAAATATTAAAAAGAAAGATTCCAAGGATTATTCTGAAGCCCCATTTCTTTTCCCTCAAAGGAATTGTATGAACAATGAAACTGGTAGGGAGTTTCCATGGAACGTAATACCAGAACAGAACCTCAACGGATGTGGTCCTAGCACAGCTGTTGAGCTACCTCTGGACGACTCCTCTTTTACTACAAGGCCAGACCCGCCCTCTCCCACATTCTTAGGGGGGAGGAAAAATAAAAAAAAGGAATCCATTACTGGGGCATTTTCGATTTGTCGTTGTCCATTCTTTTCCCCAGGATGGCTCCTAAACCCGGACGGGATGAAGGCAAATAGCATCCGTTCCTTCTTCAGTTACCATTTTAAAGATATACAATTACCTGTCAACGCGATATAGGATGACGGGAAAACAGCTCAGTCAAGCAAAGAGTGAAGGGAGCTTTGAAAGGAATATTGAACACAATTGACAATCGTTGCCTCAGAGCAACGATGTCGTGTAATATTTCTCAGGGAGGTGGACAGTCAGCTGTCTCTTAGGCGTATGGCAAAACGGTGTTAATACTCAAGGCCTACAGGTTAATCCGGGCTTTTTCATACCTAGCCATTGGGGAGTATCAAAATGGCGATGCGCTCAGGGATGTTATTTGAACTTCCTTCCATGTAAATGTACTTAACGCACCTTCCTCTGACCCAGCTGATGTGGATGGGGATATCAATATCAGCTCAAAATGGACTACACTCTCCTACCTCAACAGATCAAAACGCCATCTCTGACGTTGCGGTGGCTTCGTGGATGACGAGCATGCCAGAGAAACCCATCTCATCTCCACCAAGAAGCTCCCTGTCCTTAATGCATACCGGTCACATTGGAACCGGCTTGACAAAAATTTAATTCATTCGCTAAGTCAGGCTACCTTTCTCCAAAAACACTATAAAAGCCCTTTTGGCACTTTTGGTTTTGGTTAGGCCACAGAGCTTTTATGGCTAACTAAAAAAATAAAGGAACTATTAAATTAAATGTGGCAACAATATCACGTATAACATACACGAGAACCACGTCCACTATAAACATATATTAGTGTTGTTCCCTCTCAAAGTCCCACAAAAATTGTGAAAATTAATTTTCTTAAATTGTTCAATTCTTCCAGACCTTTTATGGAATCACTTCCCCTGTCAAGAGCTGCATTTGGTTTTTGACCTCTGCCTTCCCTCCCTAGTGTACACTTATTATTATTATTTTTTTTTAGCAACCAATGTAATTTCTCCCATTTTTCTAAATTTTAGGAAACTGGATAAATACACTAACTAGCCTTTGATCACATTCTGTTTCAATAACTTTTGACTTAATTCTACCAATGTTCAATTAATCATGCTATGCTTTATACTAGGGCTGATGACTCACTCAAATGGGATAGTCAAACTCTCGATGTCTAATCACTGCCAAACAGAGCTACACAATAAGTAGGACTATGGCAACTTTTTATAAATAAAAAAACAACTCACATTTATTGAAAAACTGGAGGAAGAATCCATTTTCAGAATAGTACCAGGTGACATAATACTGTAGGAACTTCAAGGACTATAGGCAATGATTGTGATCTGGAGGAGGGTGCTTCATATTTCAATGGTGTCAAAATTGTGGTGATGAAATACTGATGATATTACAATTTAAACTATTTTTTTTGCTGCAGAATAAGTGGAGACTTTCTTCAATAATACCATGCAGTTTTTTGCAACAGAATAGTATTTTCATATGTCCTTATCAGCATCTGTGACACCAAGCATTGCTTATCTTCAAATAAGCATTGACCTCTACTTATTGTAAAAGAAACAACTAGTTGAACTTTATGATACCCATAATATATTATTGACTAGGATTATTGGATCACTATGAATTTAAAAACTTTGAAAAACCGAAGCTTGTTTCCTCCAGAATACACTGCTTCAAACATCCCCCAGTATCTGATAATGGAAATCCCCTATCTGTTCCAGTGAAAGTAATTAGTTGCTGAAGTTTTACTTCCACTGCATTATGGTGACTGAATGACTCAACCATGCATAAATAATTAATCCTCATCTGATAGAAACAACTTAATTCAAATATAATCATGAGATGCATGCAATGTGATTATCACAAAACCATGAATGGCATTCTTACATTCACAACCGTCACACATGTGCAACATTTCTTCCAAGGAAGTAATTTCTCACTAGGTTTTTGGACAGGTTTCATACTAAATAGTCAGGACATAACATGTATGGTCTCAATATCTGGTCTATAGGAATTGACTTATAATGCCAAAAACTATGTTTAGATAACCTATTTAGAAAGAAACTTACATTTATTGTTGCCCATGACTGTCACAAAATTCCTAACTTTAAATATTCTATAGAAATATTTGATTACTTTTTACTTGATAAATAGCTACAGCATTGTTGGCCAATTTCTTTCAGTTATGATTAGCATTTGCATCAGGCTGAACAAGATTTTACAAGGATCTGAAACAAAGGAAATGATGACACATGTAATTATCTCATGAGAAGCAAAGAGGATCCTGTCCTGACTTCCAACATACCCTGCATAGCCCCAAACAGAATGAAAGGGATTGAAGAAATATATATCATTCTAGGAGAAGCACTATACTTCCTAGTTCTTGGAGAAGATTTAATGACTGAGCAATATGTACAACATTTGGAAATAATAATCTGTTTGGCACTTTCAGTAACTTGGAAAGTACAAAATACTCTTTCACCCCTTTGGGTAGGTGAGACAAATTTAAACCTCTTAAAGGAGAAAATATGTCCCCTTTACATTTTGAAACTAATGGTTTCAGGATCTATACCATTTGATGATAAAACACACACTATACATTCACGTTCTAAGACTGGACATTGGTGTAATTTGGTTGAAGAAGGCAGATTGGATTTCCTCTCATTCATCATAATCACGTGATGTAGGGGGCAGACTTTATAAAAGAGTAGGAATTGAGGAATTGGTCTCACCTACCAGATAAACATGTTCTCATAGACTATTCTCACACCTTGATGACTTGATTTTTTGGCCTTAGGGAGAGTGGCCCTAAATAAATCTTATTCTGCTCTGAATAAAAAGATGTAGACATGTAGGTTGTTTTTCTTTTCTGATCAAATGTAGGCATTTAATAGGGCACTTATTCCACAAAATTGTAATTAGTCCATACCTCTCTCTCTAAATATGGTAAATGAAATCACCATCTGGCATTTGTCAGATAACAAGTGGTCATGTGATTCTCACTGCAATAGGATGGTGAGAATATTGCAAATGTCAAAATGTTTCTCCTTCGGGCTAAATGACCTTCAGTTTCAGTTTTTTGGCATCTCAGAGCTATTGGCAATTAATGATAAATATATTGGAAGGAGAGTTGGAACTAATTATATTCAATAAACCACGATTGTTTTGATTGCATACAATCAATTAACCTAATCAAATCAAGTCATCATTTTTACAGAAAATTAAACATTATTTTGATATATCCTCATTGCTCATTTGGCATATCAAGTAGGGATATGCCAAATGAGTAATGAGGATCAATGTACATTCTGTAAGTAGTCACTTGCAAGGGCACTGGGCAACTGACAGGATTGTCAAGTCGCTTTCATTTCTTGGCCCCAAAGAGGCAAATATCAACTCAAAACTGAAATTGATATGAACCTATATTGCATGATGTTTTATGCAGGGTGTTCCATAAATTAGTTTAGCGAGGGATTTTCAGCTATTCTCATTTTAATTAATTCAGTTAATTGTGTGATATTGTTTTTGTTATTAATTGCTATTATTGTTAAAGTTTTATTTTCATACTAGGTGAAGGAAGATGCACGCTTAAAAATGTATTCCTGACATTTAAATTATTGTTTCAGTCAATCTAAGAAATTGAAAAATAAAAAAAGACTTTCTCCCTTTATTTGCACTTGTCCATTACTCTCTACTCATAAATGCCTATATCCTATCAATTTTGCTACCATTTTCAGATTCAAAATTCATTATCGCATTACAGAGATCAAGTAGAAAGAATGCAAGTTTACGCATCTTTCTTGGCTGTTCATTACTTCAATTGCTTGAGACGGACAATAATAACGAAGTTATTAAGAATTTAGCATAGCTAAGCTAAGAAAACCCCTTGGTAAACTGATTTATGGAACACCCTGTATTTCAACAACTGAAAATACAACTTAACTGTCTTGGGAGTATTTAAAAAAATGCAAAATGCAAAGTATAGAGTGCTTTACATTCAAAGAACATAATAATTAACATGGAGAGGTAAGACCACATGAAACTGAAGAGTAGGCCTATTGCAGAATAGAAATATGGGGGTGGGCATTTTTCCCCCCAAAAAAATTCCTCATGACAGACTTTAAGGTGAAAGAGGCAAAAAAAGTAAAGACTTTGGAGGCTGTCTCACTCAGCAAGAAAAAATAATATCAAATTTGTAGAATGAGACATGGAAATGTAAATGATTTAATAAAGTTTTCTAATGTCATAAATGCAACATTAATAAACTTGTGTCTTGATGCAAGCAAAGGCTGATTGGCAACTGACAGATCAAAAAAGTTCAAAGCCATGGAATATGGCCACTTAACAGGAACAAAGATGCTGCAATTTGAAAATTCCACTAAAAAGTACCTCTCCCAGACATATATTAGAATGGGTACTGAAGCTCCAAGGTATAGATGAAAAAGTGTCAGCAGGGGTTGCGCTAAGATTCTTGCCCTGACCACCTGCCCATGCATCCTGGGGGTCCCAGGACACCCAGGAAACACAGGCAGAAGGCCCAAGACTGTTGGATTGAATATCATACTGCTTGGTTATGTTAAGTCAGCAAATATACATGGATTGCTGGACTTCTACTTTTGGGGAACCCTTCAAGATTCCCTTGTGCTTCACTTGGAAAGTAACCCCCTTAATTATCAGGGGACCCCTATAGCAAGAAACCCAGTGCAACCTCTGATCAAGATTGGAAAGCAATGCAAAACAATCCAAAGTGGGGTAGGATCCTTCAGGAGGAGTGCAAAAAGTCCCATCTATCAGCATCTCAAAAAGACTAGTTACCCTCCATTTCACACTGTCAGAAAGCCCCTTGAAGACACAAACTTTGAATAAAAATGGTCTTGATTCTAAAATTTCCTCCAAGAATGGGATGAAGATGATTTCATTCATCTGGCTCAGTTGGACAAATTTTTCATTTATTCTGTTCATAAGCCTAACATAAGAACTGCAATTAGGCAAGGAATATTGATGAAATAGAAAGAGTTGAGCAAGTCCATTAAATGCCTCAGCTTGTTTATTTGGTTCACACCCAAGAGAATGACCCGGGTTATCAAAAACAGGGCCAATCCTGGGATGGTCCTAATGCTTGAGAGATGACTCATAAGGATGAGTCACTCCACTCTTCACTAATGCAGAGAATGTGTTGTCTGTGCAAGATGCCACATTTTAGCTCAACAAAGCCCCATGCTTCAAAGCACTTGAGAACCCAAGAGTGCCCAAGCACCCAGGAATCAACTTCTTGGGAACAGTGAATGGCCTGGAATTCACCAGATTTGAACAATCATGGGAGGGTAGTATCCCTATCTATATGCTACACCTGATACATTTATCAGGCACCCTACATCTACACTAATGATTATCCAACTATTGGACAAAGCAGAACTGTTCTGGATTGGAAGCCTTAATGTGGGCATAATCACCCTTTTAACCATCAGATGAAGGAAATGGGGTCACTTTTGAAACCATGTTTTTTTGCTATAGTCTTGAAAAACGAAAAAGAAAAAAATATTTGATGTTATTTTTCTGGGTAATGTTTTATGCATAAGTAATTGTTTAGCTATGTTTACACGTGAATATAAAAATTATATTTACACGAGTAAAACAATGTTAATAACAATAAATAATATTTCTGACAAAAGCATTACAAAACATTGGATGTGGGACCCGAATTACAACCATAATCTTTCAGTTTTGTGCTTCTTACAGTGATAACAGATAATGATTGACAATGACAGAATAACCAACTAACATGAAAAGTTGGGCATGTAGTTATTCAAATACAGTTGACGTTCAATATAATGAACTCGAAGGGACCGGCTAAAAAATTTGTCTTTCATTCTTTAGAAAATCTAGCCTTGACTGTAGAGGTTCTGAATTTTACTTATGGAAAGCAGAAGCCTGCAAAGAAAACCTAATAAATTTGGGCCCCTTCTCACAACAGCAAAAATATTTTATACGAAAACAATCAATGAAAAATAATGGCTTCAGTCTAGAGCAGTTCCAGAGTAATTGGGACAAAAGTGGTAAAAAATTTATTTACAAAACTGTCATCCAAGGTAAATTTCCTGCATTGTATGGGTACTAAACTTGACCAAATAAGCTCCATTAAGCATTCATCACCTGAAGTGGGATGGTTTTTCATTACTCCTGCACCATTTGAATGAATTTAACACTTGCTTGGTGAATCTTGCTTTTTTGACTAATATGTTATGTCAGTAACACTGGATAACTCTCCTAGCCAATTCAATTTTGAGAGAAAAAAGAGAAGCCATTTGGCATGAAAAAAGTTGATGGTCTATGCCTACTTTTTCTGAAAATAAGGAAGCTTCTGGTCACACCAAATAGACAATATTGGAAGGGAAGCAGCAGAACGAAAACTGTGGTCTAAACTCTGTTACATCAGTAACATGACATGAATGGCCTTTCTTTTTTTTCATCCATGGGAGAAATTAGAACATTTTGACCAGAATAGGTACAAGTATCTATGCTGGCACTGTTGAAATAGAATTTCTGGATCATACCATCTTTAACATATAACATCATACATGATTTCATTTTGGGTCTGGTGTTGTCAGTAACTTTGGAACTGCCCTACAAAGGGTGTCTCAAAGTTACTTCCCTATTTCAAAAGCCTCTATCTCCATTATGGAGTTACCTAGAAACTTCATATTTGGCATAGAGAATGCACAAACAATTGGATTTAGGACAGCAAAGTTTCAGGTAACATTTTAGCAAATAGAGCCATAATGATTTTTTAAAGCAACAGGATGACAATGCCTACCTGGGAGAAGTCAAACAAAGCCCTGGAGGGATTGTTGCCAAGAGTCATGGGGGTAGTTGAGGTAGTTGAAAAGTGACTCCCAGGCAAGGATGCAGTCAAGAAGTTGCCAAGGCTTTCCTCCTCAGATAAGAAATCTCGAGCCCGATGATTGTTCCAAATCCCCAATCCTCCACCTGGGCCACCCCCACCACCTCCTCCATTGCCAATTACTCCTCCAATACTGAGGCCTCCAGCACCAGCCCCAATGCCCCCTCCACGGCGGCCACATCTTCTCTGTATGGGGCTACAGTGGGAAACATTCATTCAATATCACTAACACTTCATGTCAGGTCTTAAACAGGAAGGAGACAAATTAGGGAATGTAGGAGGTACACAAATTAACATGATAATCCTGCATGGCCTTCCCAGTGATGCTTGTTGATGCCAAGACCAAATTAATTAGTGAACTGGGGTTTGGTGGAGGAGTGATTCTAGCTTCTGAGTGAAGCCCTGGAGGTGAGGGGTAGAGTCAGCGAGGCAGCGGGCTCTTGCTCCACTGACAGGCGACCCACCTGCTTTCATGGGGAGTGTCCGCTTAGCATGGAATAACATACATGCCACTCTGTGTGCCAAGTCTAGATGCAGTTGCCATACACCTTAAAAACCACTCATACCAGTCATGGGCATAGGCAACCCATGAGCTGCCCCTAAGGCCTCTTACAGGACCGTAAAGGGGTGTCCCAGCCTAAGGGACTATGATAAGTGCTCGTGTCAAGAGGACACCCCCTTCCTCTCTGTCGTAAAAAAATGTGTCTGTTGTTGTGTATGTCCGTCAAATGTCCTGTCTTAAAAAATAAAAAATAAATTATTAGTTAACCTGGGCTGCTTTTAATGATCAGATTACCCCCCTCTAATCAAAATCCTAATTATCTAAACACCAGTTACAGCCACCCTTTCATCTGCAGTTTTGATGAGCACTCTATGGGGGGATAGAGGGATCTCAACAACTAAATGATTCAAAAGGACTTGCTACCAGATCAGTAGCCAGCTTAGAGATATCATCCAGAAAGATAAAATTCATTAATGACAATGGCAGTCCAGGCAGTCCAAGAGCATCATTGAAATAGACCACTGTGAAAGCTCCTCAACAGCAGTTGTATGGTAACATTTTTCAGGGTGGCCCAAAAAATGTTACCACTGTAGTGGGAAAATAGCATTATGGTAGTTTCAAATTCAATTGCAATGTCATTGTATTTGAAGTCCCATTCTTATTTAAATGAACAGTATTGAGTGTAATTTCATTCTGTATTCTGTAACTTGGCATTAATCCTTTATAGGACAAAACGCTGGGAGTGGAATAAAAAAATTGAAAATGAGCTTGAAGGTCCGTCTAGTGTTTTATTTAACAGAAAAGCACAAATGATAAATTTCCCACTTCTAAATATGCAAATTAGGTTTGTAATCATTTCCCCATTGCAATTGCAGGGAATTTCACTATTCACAATGGACATACAGGCTCCAACGAATCTAAATATATGATTTAGTTTTGATGGAACGTTGCAAAGCATGTCCTACATTAAGCAACATCACAAGCACTGCAGATGATGTTACTTCTTTTCTCTTTATTTTTTGTGCTGCAATGCGCACAATGTCTGTAAGTTGGGATTACTTCTGGTAGATGAGATCCAACATTTACCAGTCACACAGTATTTGCAACAGTTTTCGTCCCAGATGGACTGTTTCGCTTTCTTGCGTGGCCACTCATTGGAGCAGGGCCTCTCCTTTTCTTGTTAGAAAAGGTCCCAATCAGCTCATTCACCAGTGTCGAACGAAAATTAAGGTGGCTTATGTGGTTTCCTTTTCGTGCTTTTACTGTCTCCATATGCAGAATAAAGCCATTTACTATCACACAATCTAGGAAATAATAAAACAGTTTTACCCACCATCTCCTTGACTTTTGACATACTCTGTAAGCTGCTAGGTACTGATCAAATCTATCTACTCCAGCCATATATTTATTATAGTCTGCAACTGATTGAGGGCACCTCACTTCTTCGCGTATTCCTTTTGAATTTCTACGCAACACAGTTGTGTGAGAAGAAGGGTCATGCATGTTGCTCAGTTCACATACAGACTTCTTTACACGGTCTAGCCATTTAGCAACACTGATATCTCCAGTCTGAGCGAAATCACTGTCGGCTTTACTCATCTCTGAATCTTTCTTTAGCATATCACTAGGATAATGTTTCCTGTTAATTCTGATTGTTCCACAAGCAAATAAACTTTTTCTTAGCAACAAAGACATAAGGGGGACACTTGTGAAGAAGTTATAAAAAAATAGACAATAACACAGCCCTTCGAGAGCTTTAGAAAGTCTGAGGACCACATTCTCTCCCAGATTCAATGTCACAGCACTATCTCTATCTCTACCAGTGTACACCTTGAATGATAACATATATCCAGTAAGAGCACGGCACAAGATCCAAACTTTGAAGCCTCGTTTTATTGGCTTTAGGGGCATGTATTGCTTCATGGTTGACCTGCCTTTGAATGCCACAATGCTCTCATCTACTGAGACAAACCGGGAAGGGGTGAAGGCGGACACAAATGTATTCTTGAGGTGCTCTAGGAGTGGATGTATTTTATACAATCGATCAAAATTGGAAGTCCCTCTGATTGGCATCTTAGAGTTGCCAGCCAGATGTAAGTATCGAACAACATTTAGGAAACGCCTCAGAGGCATCATGCGTGCAATCCTCTCCACGTGGAAATTTTCATCCATAGACCAGTATAGTCTCATACTTGGTAGTGGATGAAGACCCATGAATACAATTATCCCCAGTACAGCTTTGAGCTCATCCAGTGTCAAATCCAATTCTTTCCCACACTTGTTATCACTACCACTAGTTTTGGCATGGGTTGAGGGGTGGTAGTCAGTGTCGCTATCAGCATCATCTGATTCATGTTCCAAACATACATTTCTGTGGCTGTGTGCTCCGAGATTTCTTCCCAAAGTTATAGAACTGTCATTTTCCTCATGATACTGACAAGATTTCATCAAATTAGATGGAACATCATCCTGGCAACTCTTCCCTTGTGTTGAACTCCAGTTGCTGTTAGGTGTTTCAATGGGTAAGTTGTCGTCTGCATCTGAATCACCTCCAACATCAGAACTAACAGCTTGCTCTTCATCAATTTCAGCTCCTTTAAGAAGCTTCATTACATCTGCATGTCTGAATGTCATTTTTCTGTCAACTGTAAGCAAAAGTATTAATGCAAGAGAAAAAGGGTTCAAAATTTTTTTTCCGCTTTGCCGAAAAATAGTTACCAACCTACAGTAGAACATTTAGGAATCATGAGCAATGCAATGATTGAGTCACAGAAAAGCTCAAAGTTAAAGACCAAATGACAAAAAATTCAATCTGGAATGCCTATGGCAGGGCTATACTGTAAACAAATTTTTGCAATACAGATCTCAAACATGTCTGAGATACAAAATGCATAGGGCAAAGACAACTCCTATATGATGAGCGTACATAGAACTCAATGATATGATGAGGCTGGAAGCAGGATATGCCATTGAGATGTGGAATTTCATTATACAGTTATATGCAGAAACACTTCTTTATCTCACTCATGATGATTTGAAATGAGAATGTTTCAGTCTAATAAATTGGAAATTTTCCAATATATAGGTTCTTTCTCTTTTGGAAATCACAAGAAACTGGTTTTGCTGTGTAATAATGGTAAGTGAGAAATATTCTCACTTAATAGTCACATTGAAATGTGACTATTAAGTCATATTTCAATCAACTATGGAAATATCATGTTTCCGTCATGACAGTGCTACAATGCAATTCCTCGCATTAGCGAGAAAGGGATGCCCCGCTGCGTGCATGTGAGATGGGAGGTGGGAAACTATTATCCCAGTGACCTATAAAGGGTTAAAGAACAATCTGACATTTTGAACTTGTGTTGCTAATTCCCAGTTAGCTATAACTTTTTTTTGGACCACCCTGTATTTTAGGGAATGGATTGAGAGCATGTGTATTTCTTTATGTTGACCCTGTACCTCAATTCATAAACTGAAATTGAGACCAAATTTTTAGGACTGTATGCACCTGCTCAAAAGATCAAACATTCCTGTCATAATACCATGCAGTCTCACACCAACAGCCATTATCACATTGAATTCCCACACCTATCTGCACCTGTGGGATCATGATCTGGGTGTTTCTTTCATATAAGGAGAGGATATTGTCACAGGGTTGTATGCAGGAGCTACCTGACATTTCACATCAGACTTATGATACAGTCATGGATGTGGGCATGAGTATCAGCAACAGTGGCAGATCCAAGGGGAGGAAGGAGAGGGCATGACTGCCCCCCCATGGCCAGGTTAGCATTCTATACTTTAAAAATAGCATCTATTGAGTTTGTGGGAAAATTCTGCCATTTTTGTTTATGTACAATTGGACTCATCTCCCAAACACGAATATGGCTAGTGATGACATCCTTTTATACTCTAATCCACAAAGGTAAAAAAACAAAAACAATCAATGATTCATCACTAGCTGTATTCGCATTTGGGAGATAAGTACAATTGTATGTAAGCAAAAACGACAGAAATTTCCCACAAACCCAATACATTAAACTTTATTTGGGCCAGTGAAATAGATATTCAAATTTTTACCCCAGACAAAAAATGAAAAAGGCTATGGGATGGGGAGTGGTGGTAGGTGGTGGTGGTGGGGGGGGTTAGGTAGGAACTTGGAAACCATCCCTCCCCCCATGAAAAATTTCTGGATCTGCCCACTGATCAGCTAATACAACTTGTAAAGTTTTGGACATTCAGAAGATATCTCAGTTTAGCATCTGCTGCTTTGCAATGCCACTGAAAAAAGGGGAATAGTCTGACCTTCTGCGAGAACGATGGAAAGGGATACGATCAGCAGAAGAGTAGGCAGAATTGCGATAACGGGTGGACGGGTTCCTGCGACGGAGATTAACCCCACTGCTAGGACTATGTGGTCCTGAGATCAGAGGTGGGGATGGAGAAAGGCCATTTGACCTCGTTGTGCCAATGGACAAGCGTCTACGCTTCCTTCCTGGTCCGCCATCACACTGGGAACAAATAAATTTCTTCATTTAACACTCTTATATATGAATTTAATAAAAGAAAAACAAAAAGATGTGTTTATTAGTTTATTGTGGTAATCTGCCATAGTGGTAGTATATTCCACACTAGGTTGCAACACTGAATAAATGAGTTTTGAAAAATGTACACCTAGACAGGCTGAAAGGGCAACAAATCACAGCCATCCACTACTGAGAACATGTGTAAGAGGGTTAAAGATACTATTCACAAAAAATTGGGGTTGTCAGAACACTATCCACATATGAATGAAAATATAAGAAGAGATAAAAATATTTTGGAAACCATTTTCAATCTGAATTTGGCACAGCAAAATGCACTGATGCCGACGGCTGCTTCCTACAGATTACTTCTTTCAATCTTGCTCCTCAAATGGCACTCAGGGACATAAAATGAACTGCCCATAATTGTGGCTGAGGAGCCAGTAATACAGGGGTAACCAAAAGAAGGTCTCTAGTATTGCCAATTTAGTCAAGGCAGGAGCCTTAAATTTGAAAAGATCCTTCATTCGTCCTTTGTTTTCCTTTCACAATCTTCTCTGCTGTCCTAAGAAATAGGTGGTGCTTCAACTGACACTGGTGACTTTAGAGCAGAGATGCACAGTGTGACCTGTGGACATCAAACAGGCAAATTTTGTAAAAGAAAAAGGGAAAACAAACAGTTGTACATCCAAGGGAGTGAAAGGCTCTCCTCTGGTTACACACATATTTCATGATTAGGGAAATTCCTGCTTAGCACTTGCTGCTATTCTCACATCGATATAAGCCTCACTATATTACATATTCCAAGACCCACAGAATCTAAAGGGTATGCTCAACAGTTTTGGCACCTTTACTTCAGACTGACTTTAGGGTCAGCCCATTGAGCATCAATGACAATAGGCTAGATTAGACTGTAAACTTGAATTTACACTTATGCAGGACAGACAATCAGGTTTAGGGTATGAAGAAACTTCATCTCCAAGACAATTCATCTACACAGTGCACAGTCAATGAAAGTCACCTCAAAGTGCATAGCTGACACCAAGTGGTTAATGCCATGGGGGATCCCCATTGAAAGTATTTATTTAAAAAAAGGCTCTTCCTAACACAAAGTACAGTCATCCCCCGAAGTTACATTGCAATTGGTTCCGAGACTGGCGACGTTAGTCAAGACAACGCAAGTCAGGGGATGACTATATTGGGTCTGGGAGCAAACAACACAAGTGTAGAACAATGTAAGATGAAACGACGCAAGTCAGGGGATGACTGTATACACTGTGGCATGCAGAATAAATATCCTGCACAAGAGCATTGTGCAGGATATTTAATCAAAATCTCTTGATTACCATGTGTTTTAAAAAAAATTCACTGGAAATTTGAACATGCAGGAAGGAAAGAGTAGGGCAGTTCAAAGGTATTCCAGGCAAAAAGGTAATAATCTCACCTTAGAGACCCCATCACTAGAGGCAGAAGACAAGTGAGAAAGGAAGGCAGCTCTTGAGTTACTTCCTGGAACCGGACTCAAGTGAGCATTGAGCTGATTCAGATCTGAAAATAAAAAATACCAAATACATCATAAACTTCATAACATAAACCTATTGAAATTTGCAATTCTGAATCTAGGGAAAAATGAGCAAATATCACATTCAGTCCCACAACTGACCTGTGATGGATCGAAGGTCATAGACAGCTCCACCAGGAGATGCATGCTGCCGTACTTCCATTGTGCTGGGATTCAAACCAGGACTCAAATTCAATAAAGGAGGAGTAGGGCCTCCCACTACTGGTTCCTGAAGAAAACATTGAAGTAATTACATTTCTTGGAAGTACATTTGGCATGGCTTCCACAGAGAACAAAAGAAAACAATTGAAGTAAGATGTCATCAGCATTATCTAAAGAAAACTTTGACCCAAGTCAAAGGTCATCCTTGGGCAGCAACAATACAACCATGCATTGCAATGTGTCAGCACTCTGAGGAAAGAAGAAATCTGGTCAAAACTTGCAGATGTAATATAGTGCAAAAGTACTGATGGGACCCCACAAAGCCTGGATAGTGAATAAGGAGAGTGAAGAAAGAGGAAGGAACACCAGGAGCATGATGAAAGTCACTCCAAAAGCCAGCTTTACTTTGTTAAATTCCTGAGCCACCTGCACTTGTTTCTGGCTCCTGGCACCTCCCAAACAAGACTATGGATGGTGCAAAACTCTATTGGATCTGACATAACCTTCTCAGAAACCTTTCTATCCTCTTTCCTCTCTTAATGATGCATTAAGCAGCTACATTAAGCATTCATACACACAATGATGCATCCATGTTTCCAAGGAGCCATCAAAACAGCACTCTATAAAATCATAAATTTTTTTTATGGAATTCCAAAACCTTCCTAAAAAGCTAGTATCATGATGGTCCTTTTGTCAGGTGATACCACATTACAAAAATACCATTATGTAAGGAGATCATCAATGATATTGAATATGCTCAAAATGTCTAACAAAATTTTTTTGCTTGAGCCTGAAATGATCGTGAAGCTATGACTTAAAATAAGATGATGAACCCAAAGAAAATCACTCCCAGCACTATCTCTTATTATACTCAGGTAATACAGGGCTTAGATATAGCTCAAAGGAATGCATTACAAACCTGAGGTAGAATGGTTACATTCAAAGGTGGATTCACTTGTGGCACATCGATGTCTTCACTCTGGTGTGCACACCTATGGGGGCTTAATGTGATGAGATGGCTGGCTGGTGATGCCTTTGACACAGCTGACAGAGTGTAGAGCTGTTCTGCATGCTGATTTGGTGCAATGGGCATGATAAGATAAGGCTTCTGTTTCACAAGTTCCTTTTTCAAGTTTTCTTCTCTCAAGCCTTTTGCATGGACCACATGGCACAATGGAATTTTAAATTATGCCACCCTTAGGCTAGATCTCTTCCCTCCGTTCCCCCTCCATGAATGCAAGGAGAAGGATGGTGCCCCTACACTACCTGAAATAAGAAAAATAAGTCTATACCAATACCTACTAAATGTGTATCCAGAAGAATCCCCATGACACCATGCAAACTTCCAATGAGCAGGATAACAAAGGAATCCAGTAATAGGAATTTTCCTATCTTCATTGAAGATTGGCCCACCAAATTAGTGGAGATTATATAAAAATTTAGAGAAAACTCTAGGTATTGTAATGGAAATGACAGATAGACATACTTTCATTTACACACTCTTAACTACAGTGCAGTGGTATGTAAGGTGTAGCCCAATGCAAATAGCACACAACATTACAATATCAGGTTGCCAATGGAAAATTTTTTGTTATGGCCCACAAGAGAAATGAGAATTCCCAAATCTCCCATTAAAAAAAAACTAGTTCTCAGAATCCAAGCCTACTTCTGCATACTTGTCCTATTTAGTGTCACTTGTGGCATACAAAAACCAATACAGGGTGGGCCAAAAAAAGGGACAGTTTTCAATGGTACACTACGTTGCACTCAATGCATATATTTTCATGCGATTTGCAGCATTTGAGAGAGGAAAGACTAAGCTTTAAGATGGTTTCCTCACATTTTAAATGTTTTCAAGAGTTTCAGAATTTCTGAAGCTCAAATGAACTACAAACAAAAAGTGCATTGCTTTTATAACAGTGGAGATGAACAGGCGACAGCTGAAGGTCACATGTGTCTGTGCCCAAGTGCACACCAATGCAGTTTTTGTCTTTTGTTCATATGAGCTCCTGAATTTCTAAAAACTGCAAATATATTAGAAACATAAGTAAACTATTTTAAAGCATAAACATTCCTCTTTCAAATGCAGCAAACTGCATTAAAATATATGCAGTGAGTGTAGTGCAGGGTATCGTTGAAAACTGTCCTTTTTTTGGCTCACCCTGTATAGACAGAGGCCTGTCTTAAAAATGATGACCATCCCAAAGGTTAGGCTACTACAACACTAATAGAACCAGAAAGAAGACTGAAGGGTGTATAGAAGATGATATTGCAGGATGTTACCATAGACAATTGTATTTCTAGCAAGATTTACTCTCCAGATTTTTTACTTCAACAAAAAACATATCAAAACCTCATTTGTTGAAGTGCATCAGTGACCAGAAACACACAGAAAAAATATTTTTTTAACTCTTTGAAACATATCTGCAAGAATTACTTCCTGGCAATGTTTCCAACACAGACCTCACTTTGACTTAGTTCACAAATTACAGCAACTGAAGAACTGCTCAGCTGCAAAGCCTGGACAATACCACCAATTGTATTTTTTTTAAATTTAGGATATGCATTATAACTACCACAGCCTAGAGGTGACTGGGGCTGGGTCTAGGCCGTGGCATACAAGCAAGATGTGGGTCCAAAAATAGGCCTAGACCAGGTTCGACTTAATGGCATTCAACCTTGCCTACCCCATGAGGGCGAATGCTTATTGAATCATTAGATTCCAATCATAGGATAGCTGAAGATTTGAAAAACCGGAGGCTCCCAGCTTGGCCAGTAAAGAAGTCAAACTGAAGCAGAGTGGGTCTAGTCCTAGTATGTGCCCAGGCCTAGGATGAATAGTCACAATTCAAGACTGGAAGGGTAGGCCTAGACTAAGTCTAGAAGCGTTCAACGTAGCTAAGCACAAGGGTTCCAGCACTATAGAGGCCCAGGCATAACCCTGTGCCTAAGCAGCTTTTGGAACCCCCTCCCCCAGCCCTTTCTCTTGCTCCCTCTCTCTCCCCTCCCCATTCCATTCCATCGCATTATCATTCCCGAGACAGGGCCCGAATGCGACCCCCATCCCCATGGCTCGCCTTCATACGGTCTGGCGAAAGCAGCCAACGGGAAACATGCGCCGAGCCATCTGATTGGTTCCCTTCCTTTGTGACGTCAAGACGCCCCCTCACACCACACAACAAGATGGCATGAGCCATTTTCCACACAAAATTCTTTCCCCCTCCAACTGTCCTTGAGCAGCAACAAACAAAGTGGCGTGTTTTGCCTGCCCCGCTGCTTACCACGCGTGAAGTCAACTTACTAATTGTGTGCAAAAGTTCATCGCCCTTCGCTAGATATCAGCCTTGGCCCGCAGTTTGAGTGAAGGACTTACGAGTCACCAGTAGTAAGCAGAAACAAAGATCAGCATCACAGAGCCCGTGGGCAATGCAAGGCCCAAGCCAGCTTCTCACGATATCCTATCGAGAAAGCCTTGTTTACTAATTGCCTATCTAGCTACTCGTTCCCCTTAGGCCGAATGCTGTGATCGTCATCACGGAGGAACTGGAAATATGATGCGTGATGAGTCAAGGAACCTAAGTAATGACCTTAGGCCAAGCCAAATAGGCCAACAAGATGTGCCTGCCTCACAGCCACCATGCGTGAGACAACAAAATGCCTATTCGAAAGGAAGATCAACCCACAAACTGCAGTCTCACATGAGAGTGGAAGGGAAGCTGTCCAATTCAGATTTGTCATCTGTTCAGAAGGGCTATGCAGGTGTTTACAAAAAAGTTGGACAGAAGCAGTATGGACTAAAGAATCGTTCACAGAATCGCCCACCTCAGTCAAATTCTGCCCCCAGCAAGTCTCTAGCCTCAACTGAACAAGCTCTTACTGCCCATGTTTCACATCAATGCCAGGTGCCTCAGCTGGGCCCAGGGCTACTCCCTCTCAGCCTGCGATCTCACAACTCTGAGACCATCAATAGGCCTGAACATTTCAGACCTAGGCCTATGTCCTGCACTAATGATTCAACTGCTACATCAAATGCCAAGTTCTATCTTGGAGGGTCTGCATTAAAGTCTGCCATGTTCTATGGTCGACCTGCATCTGGGCCTATTGGCATCCTGGATGGGCCTATGATTGTTGAGGATCGCTCATATCATGCTGGAGGGAAATTCTCTACTGCACCTTCTCCTGCAGCTTTGCCACCACCTCCAATTCATTGGACTGCTGGAGATTGCGCAGGAGTTGGTATTGGACAACGCTTGGTGGAACACTGCAATTCTGCAATTCTGCTGCGAGTTCAGCAGTAAGACTGAGTGTGAGAACAGCAATGAAAAAGACAGCATAGGTACATGGTGGACATAGAGGCAGGTCATGGCAGTCATCACTTAGGCTTAAGTTTCTTCAGTCAGTCTGTTGAGTGGCATCATTGTGATTCCAGTTCCAGCAGGATTTAAATCATGATGAAAATTATATCTGTCTTAGTTGCTTGGGGTGTGGCCCACTTTTGTAGGGCCAGAAAGCCAGTGATTATTTTATTTGATTGAGGATTCTTTAAAGTTGATGTCCATCCCCTTTACAAATCATTCACAGAACTATTTGTGATATCAAGGGTCTGCTCTTTGTAGACACTTGTTTTCACATGATTTTGATTTCTGTCATCTTGATTTCTGATTTTCAACCATCTCGGTCAATAGTTTACAGAGTTGGAAATCCTAAGAAACTGCTTTATTCCAATAATATTGCATTGATTGTAAGAGTAAACCTTGGCCAATTCCTCAAGCAGTCAAGGGCTTCAATCTCAACAGTCATCAGTCTCCAAACTTGTTAATATTTTTTATTGGCTTTTTTGTAGTGGGCAATACTACCTATGGTTGACTTTGTCTTTAGGCCTAGGGCCTATGCTTACATCCTTTTTGCTGAGCAGATTACAGTTTTGTTTCATCAGGTCACTTGAAAACAAAGGTAACTTCTATGAATTTTAAGTCCATGACATGAAATAGCTCATGTTTTCCCTTGCTAAGTTAACACTGATATTAAATGATAAGACTGGGAGGTTCAAGCCCTGACTTTAAATTGTCAGGTAGGACCAAACAACTATGGACCACTCTTCCTGGACTGCTGAAGTTTTAATCTGTAAGATATGCATAGGTTTAAGTTTCACCTCTGAGGATCAGTTCCCAGTTTGATAAAAAAAAAAAAAGTGAAAATTTGGCTAGATTTGGATTACTGGTTTTGGATGAGTGATGTCTTGCCCTAGCCACTAGTCGCGAGGCAAATTATATTTTGTATCAGTGTACTGTAGGCCTGTGCTATTGGCAATACCTTTTTCACTGGCCTCATGTGCCAGTGATTTTGAACTCTCCATTTTCCTGTCTGGCATGAGCCAAGGGAGTTGATGTCATTTTCAATTTGTCATTTCACTCCAGGCTCTTTCCGAAGAGGCTTTGGAGATAATCTGTGTTGCCCAAGCATTGTCTTGTGATATTTGTGATACTCAGGCTATGCCTAGTACAAATGGAAGCTGAACTGGCATGAGGCAGGTGTTGGAAGGCCTCATTTGCTGTGAAATTTTTGTCAATCCCTATGATTTCTACATTGTCCCCATGCCCTTACCTTCTCCTTACCTCTATTTCTGTCATGCTTCTCAGATTCATGCTGTTAAGAGTGGCCTTTGTCTATTAATGTAGTCTTCCAGGAGGCTTCACCTCAGCTCCTTATTGCTTCATATAACCTCTTCCTCTGTTGGTCTTTGAAGAAATGATCCATTTGGCAGCCACTGTCTTTAAAAAATCATTATTGTTCTCCTAGAAATTCTAAACTGAAATTTTCATGTTCTGATGACATATCAGAATTTTATATATGGATGCAGCTGAGGAAGACCTCCTGGGAAAGTGTGGTGGGGCTATACTTTTCTTCATCTTTTCACTTCCACAGGGCTAAGATAGTTAATTTCAAAAATTTCATTGCTGTATTAGAGAATTCAGGCCAGTTTCCCTCATTGAATTCATATTTGCAAGAGGCTTTCCATTGTTTTCACAACCTCCTTTTCTGTCCTGAAATCATGCAACCTTGGATTTTTTCAATCTCCATAATTCTCATATGTCAATTTATATAAGATGGATTTTTGAAATTGTTAAAAGCCCAGATTGATTCCCCTGTTTCTCTCCCCCTCCCTTGCAGTTTATTGGGCTCCTCTTGGAGCCCTCAATTATTTCATGGGGTTTCCCTCATGGTGCGCTTTACTCTGTGGTTCACAGAGTAACATTTTTCCTCCATCTCCTCACACCCAGGAGATAC